TTACTTGCAATGAAACCCAGGGAAAGGTGATGTCCTCTGTCACAAAGATTTATATTCTAAATTAGAGTTAACTACAATATATGTATGATTTAACAGATTGTCTTTACTGTATTATAATGTCAATGCTGTACATTCCATGCTTCATTTGTCTCTAGCTGGAAGATTTAAGGGGTAATAAGCGGTAACTGGAGAGGACTATAAATCATTCACTTTTTTAATTGGTATTTTTTTTTCAATACTGAGGTAAAATAAAGTTGAAAAATGTACTGTGGCTGCCCTGGCCTGACTTCATTCCCATGTTAAAGAACAAATACTCCTCTTCGCTTACTATGGTGTGCATCAAGTGAAAAATGTAGCTGTACATTAAGAATTGAATACATTTGGTTAATCATGGAAATATTTCATTGGAGATTTTCACTAACTTTTTTCTGTCATTTCTAAAGAAAATACATCAATAACAGTTATTTATGATTATTGAGCAAATACACCAATAACCTGAGTAGTAAATCTATTCTGGTAAATATGATTTTGTTTGGAAGATGTTCAGAAACTGTATAATGTCTGAGGCTGCCCTACTAAGGAACTTAAAATTATATGCCACCTCTACGCGACACACAGATCACATCAGTCTTGCTCTTTGCTCAGCTGGTTTTCATGGCTTTCATTTGAGCCAGCAAATGAAAAACAGATATCTTAAGCCAGCAGTTTTCTGTCTAGAAAATAGACTAATTCTCCAGAGGTTGAGAAAGAGAAGGGTTACTGAAAATGTTTTATCTGGTGAAGCATTATACAGTGTGTATAAAGAACACAAAATCTGCAGCATGTCTGCACACCAGAAAACTCTTCACTGAAAAATAAATTTGAACTGGTTTTGGTGGAAACATTGGCATTCAGGCAAAGAAGTTTCTCTTGGAATATAAATGGCAGGTAAAGATCATCCCTTTGAGGCGTGGAGGGACATAAGAAAGAGACCGGGTTGTTCCTGTGTTCATTTAAATTTTTTTCTAAATTAATCCATAAATTGTATCCATCTTACAGGGGCCATCATGTTCATAAAACTATCTACTGGTGCATACACAAATCACTGCCATAAGACACTGGTGAATGGCCAAGATTTCAGGAGGAATGGAGCCAGGGAAGTGTCCAAAATTTTGGGGACACTGACCAGCTTTTATAGAAAGAACTTTACTCCAGTGGAAATATTTTTCATTTTTGTTCATGATGATTTTTTTCATACTCACCCCAGAAGCTTCCATCAGTGTGCAAGAGATAGGAGAATATCCAAGACAAGCCATTGGTCTTCTCACATGCACAGACTTATTTGGGCTATGGGCAGGGAATAAAAAAAGAAAATCTATTTCACGTGGGGGAAGATTTCTCAAAGTAGTTATTCTACTGGAAAAGCACCATGGTATGCATCCAGAAATCTGTTTTCTACAAAAAGGTCATGTCATCCAGAAGAGACACATTAAATTGCAATGCCCTTCAAATATTTAAATTCTTTATTATCCACTTATTTTCAAGGTCCCCTGTGACATTTAAAAAGACAGTTTGTTCAGTAACTCCAAAACACAAACAGTCAGAGAAAAAGTTCAGTACTTAAGGAGGTGTAATAGCACATATTTCACAGTGAATGAAATGAAAACACTAAGCTTAGTCTGAAAGCAAAATGTTTAGTGGATCCAGTTAGCCAGTAGAAATAAACAGCCTTCCTTAAAATTAAAAGTTCCCATTTCTACCATGGAAAAATATGACTGACTGGATTCTTCCTAAGTTTTCACGGTAAAGAACATAGTACTTAACCCTCCAGTAAATTCAAATCAATTATCATATGGCAAGAGCGTTTTTAAGTGCTATTTTGTACTTAAAATCACTCATGTTAAAATCTCTAACCTGTAGCACATAGATAAGGTGTAGAGTAGATTAATAAAAGCCCTCACAAGGTGGTAATAGATGATAACTATCTAGGTGGAAGTGTTCATAAATTAAAATTCCCTCCAAATTAATTCTCATACCTGTAACTAGGATAGAATAATGACATGTGTCATATTAGCTCAACTGGTCATTTGCCAAGGCTTGGCGCTGTTATCTGATCTCTATATTAATTTCCATGGGGTGAGGTTTCTAATTATGATCTGTAATGATAAGAAAATCGCCATTGACTGTGTTTCTAGTGAAGTGCTTTGATTTTTATATTCAGGGATGTATAATACCAGTCTCCATTTATAAAAAAAATAATACATATAGATGTCTAAGAAAAGATGATGCTTTCTGCAGTCTTGCCTGTATTGCTTCAGCAAAGAGCAACTGCAGCATTCAGATGGCAAATAAATTATCCTTTGGTGTAATGGACGTGTGAGTGATACACTCGGCTTTTCAACTTAATTAACAGCTAGGAAATGGAAAAAAAATGTAATTAATGCACTAAGTTCTCTGGAAAGAAGGATTCCTAATTATTTTTTGTTTAGTCAAATATTGAGCTATTCTGCTTCCAATACTCACTGGCATGTCTATTTTCTTTGTACAGATGAAGTCTGTACAAACAACAGTACAGCAACAGCAACTGTTAACACAAAGGCCCCACATGGATGGATTTACTCCAGTAAAAAAAATTCCTCTGGTTTTGGTAGAAATGAAGTGACAACTCAAGATGGTTATCCTAAAACAGATACATTTTCTTTATCTCTCTACTTTTTCTCTCAAGACCCTGTTTTTCAGTTCAAAAATATCTATGAAATAGAGATTACACTAGAATATACTAACAGCTGCTCCCATGAAATTGCAGCTGAGGCCTGGAGGCAGGGAAAGCCCATGTAATGATAAAGAGCAGGCACCTGCTGCCTTGAGATCTGATAGATACATCCCTATGAAATCTACTCTGGTTAGGGGTCTTTTGAAAAACAAAACAAAACAAAACAAAACAAAACAAAACAAAACAAAACAAAAAACCAACCCATGAATAGCCAAAATGGATGTTTTTCTGTTCTCACAAAGATTGTGCCTTTTCTCTGTTGTAATGAAGGCTCTGTCTCTCCATTCAGGATGTGCTGAAATAAATTTATGTCTCTCAAAAAGTTTGGGAGACTCTTCTGCTGTCAATGAAGGCTGGGTGGCAGCTGTAAAGCAGTGCTGCAGCCTGACTTTAGGTGTTTAAAATAAGATTAGGTGCATATAAGCATATGTAAATGAAGCTGGAAAATAAGTCTGATATTATTAAAAAGATTCAGCCTGAATCTTACTAATGAGGTCATGTTACCTTAATTTCCAGACTGCTACTTCAGGGGTCCTTTTTCCACCAATTCTATCATAATTCTCTGCCAGAACCTATTCCTCATTCCCCCTATTCCTGTACTGGAAATTGGAGCAGTGCCCAAAGCACAAAACTGAAGGAGGGAATGGTATTACACTATAATATGATCTGGAGGCTAAGTTTGCCTGGATGTTTGTAACAAGATGACAAATTAACACAGTGGTTTTACTTACTTCCTCAGAATTGCCATTAAGCACACTTCTGAGGGCAAAGACCATTTGTTTTAATAGAATATCAGACAAGCTAACACTACAAGTCTTCAGTATTATTAGTAGAATACCTTGCAGCATCTAATGTCCTTATTTTTGTCTCCAGTGATCTGTGATGATATTTTATTTCTAAAATTTGCAGCACTGACTTCAGCTATTTAACATTTTACCTTGTACATATTTTTTAACGTGAATACCAGACACTTAGGAAGGTCAGTGTAAGCACATTGGTTGTGGTTTTAGTCTACAATGATGTCACTCAACTTTCTTTCAAATTAGTTTGTGTAATGGAACAAGGGTGTAGCACATAGATCAGAACTCAAGTCTGGATAACCAGCTATTGCTGGTTAGTCAAGAATTAATGGACACAGAAGCAAAGAGACACCTGTCTTTTTGACAAAATTATTTATTTGTTACTTCCTTCACTGGCTACACAGCTCGTATCTGTTCTGCTGTTGGAGAACAGTTGGGGTCCTTGGGCACTTTGGACTGCTCAGACACTTAGTATGGCCACAAATTCACCTTAAAACTGTACTGTGTAAACACAGTGAAAACATTTTTTATTCAAAGTAGTCAGAGACAGAAAGTCTCTCAAAAAATAATCCTATCTGTGCCTGAAAAAAATAATCCTATCTGTACCTGAAACTATACCTTAAAACTAAAAAAAATACTTAGCAACTGCAAAATATAATGACATATTTGTTTATCTCCAGAAACAATTAAAGATTTCAACTTCAACCGATAAATTTTTAAGGCTCGCTGCTAATTTTTGGGATGTTTCTGCTGTTGTGTGATGCCAAGTAAACTATCAACAGTACCAGAACCTGAGTTGATAGTCACCTCTTTAACACAGGAAATATTTGTTCTAAGTATTTCCCTCAGCTTTTTGTTTCACACCTCACTCTCACTTTGGCTACACACACATGTTCATTGATGTGAAGGTAAATCACAAGACTTATTTTTTCAATGAGATACTTTTTCAGAGGAATATGAATATAGCAACATTTTCCAAATGGACCAACAGAGATTTAGGAATTAAACCCATTGTCTTTAAATACACTGTTGAAAATAGGAGTGAAGTTTCTAGCTCATTTGAATGATTTAAGAAATCTTACCGTAAGTTCTGTGTTTATGCATACCATTTATCACCACACTAGACAAAACACTACAAAAATAGCAATTAGAAAGCCAAGTATTTTAGACTAAAATTTTATTTTAGTTCAGTATTTTGAACAGTTCAGTATTTCAGGGAAGACTGCATACCAAAAAACACAGACATAACAGTGGGGAGAGCAAATATTTGTTTAAATCTGTAAGTGAAAGAAGAAGAAGCAACTGACTGACAACTTCATTAAATATGAATGCATTATCTCTAAATTCTGCTAGAAAAGCTTCAGGAGCAATTAATTTCCTTGCTACCAGTAGCAATGATATGTCATGGAACAAGAAACGAGAACTGAAAACAAAACAGGTAAGGCATGCTAATTAAGGAATCTGAAGAGCTAAATCCTATTTTGGTAATTTGTAAGATTGTTTTCCCCTTCTTTCTCTAATATTATTTTATCATCTTCCTTCAAAAGTATAATTTATTGGAAAACAGGGTATTTTTTCTTATCAAGTCAGTGTAATATTTTAGTTTCTTGTAGAGCTGGGTATGACAGTTTCCTTGCCTCCACACGATAATCAGTTTTTCAATTGCATCCCCAAGTCTGAGAGGTGACTGCTGTGTTTTCTGCAATAGAAGGAGAGCACCACATTACTGCATTTCCCAGAAATACTATCAAAACCCTGGAAGCGGTGAAGTGATGAAATTATCTCATCAATATTACGTATTTTATGAAGACAGAAGAACTGAACTCACAAGAAAAATACGCAGGTAAGACCCATGCAGGCTAACTTTAGGCTGGGGAGGCTAGTTACTGAACTCCATCTGGAGTCACCCAAGAGAGATGCAGATGAATCAAAGCACTTAGAGTTAGGCTGCTGCTCTGAATCATTCTCTGCAGGTATTTTTCTTTATTCACAGGAAAGAGGAAGCTAAGAAAACCATCCCATGCAAATAAAAGCTAGTGCCAGTGCCTTGAAGAGTCTGTTTGGGTCTTTCAAAGGTGATAAATGGTGTGCATAAACACAGAACCTATGGTACAAAGAAAAATAAAGGTCAGAACAACAAGTGAAACTGTCATTCCATCACCTGCAGTACTAAAATATTAACTATGCCTGCTGGGGTGCTTTTGGTGTGTTAATAAATTATTATGTTTGACTCTGGGGAAATATTGCTGTAGAACAAAACAGACCATATCCTCAGAGAATAACGTTATTCTCTTTCAGATCAATGTATTATCACTTTACTCAGTTTGTCTTACACATATTTTGTACAGAACACTTTGCTATTGTCAGTTACTGGATGGAAATTAATTACTCTGACAGTTCAGTGACAGAAGCCTCTGATACTGCTATACTGAATTTAATTGACTTTCCATATATAAACTTTTTTATGCACAGCTCCTCTTAGCACCACATGTCCTAAAGATCAAATTGCCATCTAAAATTCCCAGTTTACTAATTTGATTTTTTTATTTTGCTGCCAAGACAGTTGATCTCTTCATTGTTCAACCATTTCCTTCCTGAGCTAAAATTGATGATAATTAGATGTAAGAACTATGGAGAAAAGACCAGCTTTAGAGGAAAATCAATTGCAATTGTATGGGTGGATGATAAATTTAGTTACATTATCACTATAATATGTATCTATTCAAAAGCTCTTCCTAGATGCAGAAATAGTGTGAGAAAAGGACATTCTAGAGAAAACCCAAGTAGCAGCATTTTATGAGGGATCTGATAGAAGAAAACAATCTGCATAGAGAGCAACTCTACCCAGAAACCCTCCTTCATTTCAAAGGTAACTAGAAACGTTTTTGTTTAGTATTCATACGACCATTTCCATATGGCCATTTCTATATGACCATGAAAATTTTGAAAACTGTCCCTGGTTCCACCGAGTTGTTGAGGTTACACCCCATCTCAGAGAGCACTTCTGTCAGCAGATTCCCAGAGCTCTCACTGCATGCTGCATGTGAGAATCAGTATGGTTTACCCCTTTTCCCACTACCCTGTAGCAGTGCATAAATCAAGCCTGCTTTCCATGCAGGTCTATGCTATCTGTCCCTCCTCAGGACCTCATAGATCAGATGTGAATATTCATTATGTTCCTGTCTGCCAGACACTGCTACTGAGAGTCCCATACAGGAGTGATTGAAAAGGGCTGCACTATAACCAGGATACCTGCTCACCAGAAGGCAAATGCTGCAGAACTACTATCTGCCCCATGCTGTGATATACCTGGGGCTCAAGCCCTTCCCAAGATTGCTAGGTTTAGTTGCCATTCAACTGTTGATGAGATATCCTTCCTGTGGCCTTGTGACAAATGTGTTTGTGCATCAGGATCGTATTCAGCTGAGAGGCCTGAATTCACAGGGTTTATTTGCTTGAAAACTCTTTTACTTGTAAGAGTTGACTAGAAAGAGTGAGGTCTAAACTGAGTCTGAGAAGAAAATCAACACTTTGTCATATTTTACATTATGAAGCTGGTGAAAGAGTTACTACAGTTCATTATAATGTGATATTTTGAAGAGCTAGAAATAGTTTTAATCACATTTCTGAAGAATAGACCTATTTTAGTACATTTAAAAATAAGCCAAATTAGCTTCATATTAAGAGTCCATATTCTAAGAACATTAAGGACACACTGGGGAAAGACCCTCTTTTCTTAGTGTCTTAAGTATCTGTGCCTAGTTGCTCTCAGAAGGATATGGGCCTAGATGGTATAGCAGTTCTTGTGCACCCAGGTGGCTGATGGAGTGGGATTCACTGTACTTAGTGAAAATTCTCTCTATTCTTTCCCACATTCCCTGGCTGAACTTTTAGAAACGATATTGAGCCCCAAAATCTCAGAATAGATGAACATTAGCCCTAAGGAAGGTGCAGAGGAGAGCCAGCTATTTTCATACACAATGAAATACCTCCCTTCTTCTAGGAACTTGGAATGGGAATGACTCAAGGAGTTACTGAAATGTCACATTCTGCCTATCCTCAGGTAATGTTTGTTTCAAGCAGTGGTCTTTGTTTCACAGATTTTTCCCATTAATTTTAATTATAGATCCTCAAAGAAACAAAAGCTTCTTAATTGCCTCCAGAGTTACACCAGTGAAAAGTATACCAAACTAGCAGTACAGTATATTAAGAATGGGATTCCAGAATTTTGGCACCTTCCATTGTTAGTGATAACCAACTCAAAAGTCGAAGTAAAATTTACCTCCTTGCTGTATGAATCCTTTTTTTTCCCTCTAGTAAATAACAAGGTTTTTCTTTTTCCTTCTCTTCATGAAGAAAATTTCTAATATGGATCTAATCTGGAGACATTTCATTTGGTTCAATTTATCACCAGTGCCCTCATCATTGTCAGCACAACACTGCATATCAGGGCTGATAAATTGCATTCCCTCTTCTGACCGACATACTGCATCGTGAAAATGGAACCAAATATGTCATAAATAAATAGTGACTATCTTTTTACAGTAAAATTTTATTATAACATATAAACATGCAACTAAAGATGTGTGATTTAGGCTGGTTCTGAGTATTTTTGTTGTGTTTTCTGTCTATGAAAGGTATCTGAATATAATATTTTGATATGAAGTACTGCCATCTTCTCCTCTCAGGTAGAAAATACTGTATTAAATTGGTGCCAGATCCTTTGCACAGCAACACTATCATGATTCCCTGTTATTTCAGATTTGATTGTAATTTTTTAATTAACTTTGTTTTGAAAAAGATCCCAAAGCCTGATAAAAACTTCTGAAAACAAGACACAAACTAAGTATAAAGATTTCAAATCTCATGTGCAAACATCTTTCTATAGGTGAGAACATGAGAGGAATTAAAATTTCCTCGTTTAGTTTTAAAACAAGATTGCAAAAGGAAAAAATATAGGAAAGGATATGTGATTTTAGGGTGCTTTGAATAGCAATTTGGAATCTCAGCATAATCGTGTTTGGTGTTTTACCAATGAGAATTGGGGGGGTTGTGTTTTAGGAAGAAAAAGACTGCAGCTGTTGACAGGTTCTTACCTAAAAAGATAAACCAAAGCTACCTATCTTCTAGGAGGTTCTCAAACCCTACCTTGAAATTACTTTGTCACCATAGAAACCTTCTAATGGTTGAACACTGTGCCTTGATCTCAAAAACTTGATCTCAAAACTTTGACTTACCTGGTTGTGGAGTTTCCTGGCTTAGAGGGAATTTGGTTGTTCTCTGAAATGATCATATATGGGTAAACACTAGAAAAGGGAAAGAAGCAATTAAGCTAAAGTAAAAGATTTTATATAACTGATTGTAATAAGCTGTCCAGAAAGATTCTGATATGGAGAGGTCTATAACATAACTTTCCAGAACAATTTCTGATAAGTGTTGTGGAGCCGAAAGGTTTTATGGTAAAGTGTATGATGTGGTTACCCACCAAAACAGTAAGTTCCCTCCTCCTTGTCCAAGGTTACCAAGCGCAGTCTACATGCTGCAAACTGGAGACTGCCAGCAGAAAAATGAAGTTAAATTAATTCTGTGTGTTATTTCTTGGACACCTCTTGGAGACTTGCAGACTACAAGCCTTATATACCTAGCAGAAAAATTTCTGGTGTAGTTTTTCCCAAGGGCTTCACAGTCACTGCTACCTTATTGGGAATGTCTGGATAACACACCATCGACATGCAAGCATTGTATATATGGATGCATGTCCGGTTCAACACACGTGTAACACACAGATGCAAGCACATATACACCCAACAGGTCATACAAGGAGACATCACAACCATAGCTCCAGCATGTACACATGGATGCAGCTTCAGGTGGAAATCACACAGCCATCAGGTGGCACAGCCTGATACACACATTAAGGAAGTACATGTATTTCAGGTCATGTGTGTGAGATCCTGGATCAGAATCTCACTAAATTATTGATATGGGTCGGAACCAACTCACTCTGTGTGTGTGTGCACGTGGGGAAGGGCTGGGCCTGGACCTGCAGGTCCACGGTAAAACCTGCACATCAAGCCTGTGCTGAGAGCACAGGGCAGAGCCAGAGGGCAAGGTCTGCTGTCCAGGCAGAGCACATGGTAGAGCTGAAGGCCCTGCAGCCAGGCTGTCAGTCAAGGCAGACCTGCCTAGTAGCCTGCCCACACCACACCTCTGGAGCCTGTGTCTGGCTACAGCACAGCTCACTCTGGCCTGGAAGGCATTGCCTGGATATCCCTCCTGGGAGGGAAAACTCAACTCTGTAAATACACTAGACTCCATGCTGCCTCTCTCCTTCTTCTTGTCGGTAACTATTCTCCTCTCCTTCCTCTCTCTCCTTCTCTCTTTCTCCTCTCTTCACCCCTTTTAATCTGTTTTCTTCTGTTACTCTTTTCCTTCTCTTGTGGGTGCCTTAGAACCAATGAATTGTGTTTTACTAAAGCTGGTATATGGATTGTTTTTAGTGGGTGTTTCCTGTGGAATGGGTCTTTGTGCTGAATGTTTAAGTGAAATGTTTTTTTCTTCGTTGTATTTTACTCCTGTAAAAACCTTTTGCCAAAATATCTTATTTTTCTCACTAAATTAAAAAGAATTTCTCTTAGAGAAAAGTGTGTGACTCTTTCTCTGGATGCTAATTAGAGGTTATAACAAACCAAAAGACTTTTAAAAAATCTTAAATAAAAATGTAACCAGTCTGGGCAGTTTATAGCTTAATCAGGAGAGCAACAACGTACCAGTGCTCAGTTCATTGTGCTAATGTAGCTGGTTCATAGTCAGTGAAGAGAAAGGAAAAGTAGACAGACAAACCTTTTTGAGTGTTTCTCTCATGCTCCATATAGCTATGCTGTAATGTATCTTGCTTTAGTATTTTTCTCTTACCGAACTCCAGGAAAGAAACACTCAAAAGGAAAGTTCATCCTTTCATCTTCCCTTGAATCAATGTAAGAAAACATTTCAACTACAATTTTGAGAGTCTCATTGAGCCTTTGAACAAAATCAAGCCTAGACTTGATGGTACTTTGAAATTTAAAACACAGAAGGCCATTTGAAATTGTGCTGATCACAAAAGCATTAAAAGACCACAAAACCTCTTAAAATTTATTTACAGTTCACATTTAATTCAAGTTATTAGGGGAATTTATAGAATAGTATACCCCGCTGTTATAAAATACATATTTATGAGGTTTGGATGAATAATTCACAGAACCAATGTACTGCTTTGCTGCTGAAAGGATATTTGCAATCAGATTTATATGTTACTTGAAATTACTAAACCAATGCATTTGTGATTAAAACTTTTATTCTGTGGCTTGCCTGTGACTGATTCTCAGAATATTTGTTATTCTAGTTGTAGTGATAGGTCAAATAAATCATGTGCTGCTATTTCCTTGCTCTGATTTGACTGGTAAAAGAACTTTTCTAAAATAAATTGCCATGTAGGAGGACAGAATATTCAGTTTCTGTGAATGCTTGTGCATGTGATTTTGAAATCTGCTCTTCTCAAACATTTCTGCCAGTGTGATTTGATCATACAAATATTTGAACAAAAGAAATATAAGTCAATAGCAGTCAAATAGCAATGCCAAATAGCAATGCCAAAGCAAAATGTGAACAAATATTTAGAAAAAGTTTTTTCCCCTATATTGTCTCAACTTGAAATAATCAGAGAGAAACTACAGTATTTTTCAATCCTTTTCTATGTAATGAGACTAGAAGCCAACTTCTATTTTACTCTGACAGAACTGTTTGCTCAGTGTTTTTTAAAGAAATAAAGTATTTGCATCTGTATGTGCCTTACTTCAGAAAAATGAATAAATTTTTCTTTGTTATACATAGGATTGATCCCAGAGTATGACTTACCAGTAATTTCACAAGGAGGAAAAGGGCCATTAATAGCATCCATTCTAAACAAATAATTAAGCCAAGACTGCAAACGATTTTTTTTCCTCTCTCTGCTGAAACTGAGGGAAAAACTTCTGTTGATGATAAATGGCAAGCTTAACAACATTGCTTCATTTACTGCCCAAAGGATGATATAACATGGCACAGCAAACTGAAGAATTATTTTCTGCATTTAAGCATTCCTGTTGTACAGGTCTTATTTTGTCTTTGCTGTTTATGCCTTTTCCTTGACTGTGAATTCTGTCATCTGGTTACAGAACCTCAGAAGCTGGGATGTTCAGCTTTCCAAACAGCAGGACATCATTGTGAGATGGAGAATAGGTGGCTGGCAGATGAAACACTCAGCTGGGGTTCATATGCTCTGGTTTCCAGTCCCATCTCAATTCTCTATGTTAACCTAGGCATAACACTTAGAGTTTCTTTACTTTTTCTGACTGTAAAACAATTAAAACAATGCTTTCCTATTTTTCACAGTGACAATCTAATGTTAGTGTGGTTGTTATCTAAGTGGTATGGAAGGCACTGTAGAATGGATCCAGATAATAATCACAAACAAAACCTTCTGCACAGATGTCATTGTGTGACTCAGAGATAAGCTAGTGTTATATTGACTGACTGTCATACCATCCATCTTTGAATGTCAAACTGTTAAGATTGCACAAAAAAAGAATTTCAGAGTACTTTAGAGTAAAACATATTTTTCTAGAAACTTAAAAATATTTTAATGGAATCTCCTTTTTTACTACCTGAAATTGTAATAAAAGCTACTTAAATATGAAGGCTTGTGCTCTAGTTGTGTAACAAAGGCAGGGCAGATGGTGTAAAGAACTATTTTGCTCTTTTGTGACTCTTTGTTACAAATTGTTCTTCTGTCTTTGAATTACATACACCCATTAGGAAATTTTAGGAGGAAGATCAGCTTCCCTTAGGTGATCCAGCCTTGGAGTACTGCAGAGAACTCTCTCTACAGGTGGGAGAACACATTGAAAACCTTTGCAAAGGACAAGAAAGTGATTGTCCTACTCAAGGCTCTGCAAATTGCTGTGGTAAGGATGAGAAAGAGGCTTCTTTTGACACCCTCTTGGAAAAATGTCCTTCTGTGCTATGGTCAACTAGCTAAGAAAATTAAAAACAACATGATGAGCTGGTCCTGTCATGTGAAATAGCATAAAGCACCAGGCTATTTTCATGAAAACTGTCTTCAGTACTATACCTGAAATAAATGTATTTGACAGAATGAGAACATTAAAATGTGGTGTTTTGGTTTTGGGTTGTTTTTTTTTTTTTTTAAGACAAAGATGGTAAGAGCTTCCTACTTTATGTTGGACTCTGAGGATGGCAGTTACATTTGTGATAGCAAGTTGCCTTTTTCATAACAGATTGATGAGATAGTCTACTGTTGAGAAGTGATACTATTTTCAGAATCAAGTATATGCATGTCTTTACCCTTATGACTTTGATCCCTTTACAGAAATACATAGATATGTGCATATACATATGATATGCATGTATATGTCTATGTCTGTGAAGGTGACATGCATATTTGCTGATTAAAATAGAAATGTAGAAACCCTCATGTGTGTCGGTTTTCTGTTTTGGAAAAGAACCAGTATATATCTGGGTTGTAAATATAGTATATTGGTCTATTTTTGCATGCATGTATGCACTGGTATGTGGAATATATAAAAATAATCATTCTCAAATTCATTCATATGGATGTGTGGGAACATACCCTAGATGTTCACCTCTTAAACCCTTAGGCTGACTGCACACACCCATGCCTGTGGGAGAAAGGGTGATGGAATGTATATGAACTTTTTCCTTGATTATGTTTGTTGCAATGTCAAAGTACTGGCAGATGTCCAAGTAGAGATATGAGTAAATCTAGCAGGCCATAGTCTAAAATTAGTTCTCTCTAAATGTATTCGTCCTAGGGTTTTTTGTGTGTTTGTCTTTACAACAGTCCCAGCCATACTGAGCTTGTACATGTATCATGTAACCATTGCAGTTTTACAGGCTGTTGAAAATATTTTCTTTGGTGACGTGGGCAATAAGCAGTCTACAGGTTTTTTTTACTTTCATAGGTGTTCATAGGCAAGTACTTCTATTTTTGAATAAGTTTAATGATGTTTACTGTCTTAGCACAGAAAATGTGTTGCCCCCAATGAACTCCAAAATTTCTCTTCTGTATTTAGTGACTTACTTAAAACAGAATGAAGGCTATGGGTGAGGTCAGCTGTCAGTCCATCCGTGGTACAACAGAATGATTCATGCAAGACCATTGGATCTAATTACATCATTCTTGGCCATCTGTACTTCTGGGCTTACGTTTGCTTTTCCTCTACTTGAAAAAGATACCTTCAAATTGAAATTATTGCTTCTTCCAGTAACTGCAAACATTGCTGTTTTCAGGCTACTTTGAATATAAAAAATGTCTGGTTTTTTTCTCGTATTTTCTACTAATCTACAGAGACTACAAGCTCAAAAATCATGGATCAGACTTAAAAATTATTATATTTAAGATGGGGGGGGGAGGGAAGGAAAGATCTCTTGGTTTTTATTTGGGGAAAACTTCCTGTTTGCAAGAACATCAAGCCCATCATCAGCAACAAAGGAGCAACAAAGTAAATAGCTTTCCTGCTGCCTGTACAATGAGAAGTTAGTGCCTCCTGTCTAGTAGTTATTCTTGTAGTCTCAATACCCCCAAAAGAACTCTTGAGACTCTCCTGTCTAGTAGTTATTCTTGTAGTCTCAATACCCCCGAAAGAACTCTTGAGACTCTCTGTTTCTGCAGAATGCTGCTTGCCAGATACATGATCATAGCTCTTTGGCTTCTATGTGCAATATCGAGGTAACCTCCAGACAGTCCACATATCTAGTGGGTTGTTGTCTACTGAACTTCAAGAAAAGCTTGGTTTGTATTTACTCATATGATACAGAAAAAAGTTGGTATAGAACTTTAAGTGATATGTTTCACTTTTACATCTTTTACAGTCAATGAAGTATGCTGAAGTACTGTAAAGTTAATGGAATAATCTAGGATAAAATGAAGCAGATTTGGAGGGAAAAAAATTAAAATCTAATGAATATAATTTACATACCATTAAAATAGTGAAAGAATAATAGAGAGACACAAAGTGTCTTTATTAATAATAAATTTTA